CACACGTACATGCAGTCGCTATATAAGTGCAATAATCTTGGACGCGACGTTAAACACCTCACCTCACCTCACCGGACTAGTACGAGCAGCCACACATACCTGCATGCACTTCGCTAAATCAGTGCAATAATATTGAACGCGACCTTAAACCCCATTTCACCTCATCTCAACTTTCTGAAACAACCCCTGTGTTAACTTGAAAGGAAACCTTTGTCCTCGTTACAACAAGAAAGAATTATGTATCACCTAGCTGTTGACATCCTATCTCATGTAAGTTCCAACATTAACCATATATCAAACCAACTTAGATGTAACAAGATTCCTAATAACGGCGTGTCCAGCCTTCAGTCATCCCTGTCGGGCCAGGGCACCAGTGTAGAAACAGCCATTATGAACACGTCTCTCTGAGTGCACTGTGAGGAGATTGATTGGCGATAAAGACGTGGGTCATAGATCCCGACCCTGTACCCGAGTCTTGACGCTATCTCACACCTCTGAAGAGGTTTGTATCGGAAGTGATCAGTTCCCCTTTGTACAGGCTATTGAAGACAAACCTTTAAATCTTGTCCGGGGACATGTTAGCAGTGTCGGGTTTAACGTTTGTCAGGATGGGGAGGGACTGTGTTCCAGTTCGGCGTTCCCCGTAAGGGGGTGGACTTTGAAAAAGCCCAGAGGTGATTTAAAGTAGTACTCGGACTTAACCCTCCAGATTAACATCAAACAGTTGGTGTTGACCCGCTAATCTTTCTAAGCTCAATACTGATATCATTTGTTATTGATGTCCATAATGCACGTGTTGCTGAGTTGTTGATAAAAAATGGAGAAATATTTTGGTGTCTTCAGAATACTTTGTTGATTAGTTTTCGGTTTTCATACTGGATTGGTTGTTTCATGAAAAAAACATGTTATTATGTACTAGAATGTTGATATAATAGCTATGGCTGTTATCTTGTTGCAAGGAGGTGTGCTTAATATTCGAGTTCACTCTAGGAGGTTTCTAAAACACCAGCTTGTAATTTCGTTAGGGCTATGAATGAGAAAGTATTGTTTATTTCATCATTTGGAAACAGTAGTATTTATGAAGATCGAATAAAATATTTTGTTAAATGATAAGTACAAACCATTTCAATGCATTTCACCCCAACAAGATAACTAGTTATACGCATTCCAGTTGCTCATGAGACGATTGCTTCGGTTTTCTAGGATTCCAGAGGAATCCTGCTGGTGGGCTGAATTCTGAAGTCCTGAAACCACTAATGATCAACATAAGGGTAATCTGGCTTGTGCTAAGGAAAATGTGTGAGAATATCAAGGCAAACGTCGTGGAGAAATGGCTAAAGGTGTGTCGTTCCACACTACAATGCACATCTGCACAATTCTGCTGAACATTCTCCATATTCACCAGATTTGGCAACGTCAGATTTCCACCTGTTCTCAAACTTGGCAAGCGTTATGGAAATGATGCTGACGTCATGTGTGGTGTGGAAATCGTTTAAATCTACCAGAAGGAAGTCTCCTCTACCAGTGGGATGATCCAAGCACTCCAGCATCGTTGGTAGAAGTGTGTGGACGGAGGGGATTAGCTGAAAACTATTTATCAATAAACAAATGCGACAAAACCCTTTCCATATTCATAAGAAATCCAACTTCATCAACGCGGTCCTTCTTAGCTAGGTTCAGAATGTTTCAGTCACCCCTCGTAGCCGGTGTGTTAACGTACTGTAGGTAATTTCAATTGCCAATACGGTGTCTATCTTGATAATGAAAACAACGTTCAAAGAGGGGCAGGCGCAAGGCATGGTACTCCACATTATGTCAAAAGGACATAGTGAGTGAGTATGGTTTTACGCCGCTTTTAGCAATATTCCAGCAACATCACGGCGGGGGACACCAGAAATGGGCTTCACACATTGTACCCATATCGGGAATCGAACCCGGGTCTTCGGCATGACGAGCGAACGCTTTAACCACCAGGCTACCCGACCGCCCCTCAAAAGCACATAGATCATACAGGGTGTGGTTTGGTGGAACACACGTTTGTTATTTACACCTGAAAAATAATGAAGCATTGATGTTTTCAGATAACATTACAATTATGTATTTTCGCATCCTGTATATTTTCTGATGAAACACATTTGGTTTTTTAGGACAAATTGAAATGTAAACAGGAATTATGCCATCCCATATAAATTCTGATTGTATTTCTTGGTTTCTTTGTATCATACCCTTGGTCGTGAGTTTTACCAAAAGCATTCAATTCTAAGACCTGTGTCACTTGGGACTTTATTACTTTTACACTCACTCACTCTCTCACTCACTCACTCACTCAATCACTCACTCACTCACTCAATCACTCACTCACTCACTCAATCCCTCACTCACTCACTCACTCACTCACTAGAAATAAAAATCGGTTATAAATCTGTATATATTTGTATAATACTCTTTGTATCGTCATATAAGAAGCGTTTGTATCACGAAGCTTACAAAATCAATATTTGATTGAATATATATTAAAGCGAAACCACGTTCACCCGAACACCGTTTTGCGGAAACCCTCTTCTGAACGTCTACATGTGGGAACGTCCATATAATGTAAAAGGAAGATTAGCCCTCGTTAAGCTGGACGATTTCGGAGGCAAGATAACGAGGATTCGTTTTTTTAAATAATGAATGATAAATGTGAGTTCAACCGAGAACTAATGACCTGTCTTTCAGATATGTTATTCATAGAGCTTGTTTAAATAAGTTAAAAAATTCGACCGAAATTATCTTCAAAGAGAAGCGAATTGGAAGAAGCTCTCAAACAGCTGATGTTATCTCGTCCTCGTGAATCCGCTCACAAGGGAGCCTGATAGCATCGCCTATATAACAAACACAGTGTTTTGCCGCAGATGCATAGCGGTAGATGAAGATATGGGACATCATAAAAAAGTTTCAGGAATGTGAAGCAACAAAACCATCAATGTACCAGAGAATGATACCGAAAAGATCATATCATTTTTGCCGCCACTGAGAACATATATAATAGACAGTCATGTTAGTTTTATAGCTGTGCCTAATGCTGTAGTGTAAGAGGTGACGATTAATTGTACATGTAGGCTTCCCAACGAATTAAATGACACCCTGCAGCTATTGGTCTCAAAGCGTTGGGTTTAACGACAGGAAGCAAACGTGGGTGTCATATTGCGGTTCTGGCATTTAAAGTTAAATTGATTGATGTAATTAATTCCTTGTGTGGCATTAATAAAGATTTCTGTTTAATCCGAGTATCATTTTATTGAGATTCCGTAACTAATGTTCTCTTGTTTTGGGTGTTGGGTATATAATCAGGTCATGGGTCAGAAAGTTTTATGGTAAACTTGTGACGGACATTTCCAAATTTGACGCATCAGTGACAAAAATGTTTGATGCAATTCCTTTTTTTGACTTATACCATGTGCTCCTGTATTTGTGCGGGTGAACAATCAACTTGCCTTTGCATGTATTTGTGACGGGTACATGTGTACCACTGGTGGGGCAGGATAAGCTCACCTTTTCGCGAACACCTGGTATCATTACTATTTGATAGTGATTCATAAACACAGGCTCATGATATAGTCGGAATTGTACAATCGACTCTGCTTTATGCAGAGATGTCTATTGGATGTGGAAAGGGTTTTGTCGCTTTGTTTATTGTTTGTTGTTGTTGTTATTATTATTATTATTATTATTATTATTATTATTATTATTTAAAAAAACATTATTATTATTCACAGATTAAAATAATAAATGCAGCAAAGAGGTTTTGGTCGATCCTGGCACAGTCAGGCTGGTTAGGCTCATCATCAGCTCAGGGCCCTTGCCATCTCTACATGCAATCCCAGACAACGAATGGGACTTCTCCCAGGAAGTGATGCCTAGCCAAACCCTCCCAGAACTTTTCGGAGAATGTGAAAACTCCCCAACACTACAGCCTTCTGTATTACCCAGATTGTCAGGAGGGCTGTATTCCAGGTAGCAAACCCGGGTACTCTCCCAATGTCACTCAACAGATTGGGAGGTACCAAACCTAAGGCACCGAGAACAATGGGGAGTCGGACAACTTGGTACTTGGGATGCAAGCGAGACATTTCTAAAGCGAGGTCCGCAAATTTGCCATGTTTTTCCTGAATCTTGTTAATCACATTAGTGTCAAAAGGGACAGAAAATTCAATAATATAAATAATATCATTAGATTTATGAAAAAAGACAAGATCAGGTTTGTTGGCCTGGATATGTCTGAGGCTGTAAACGGGCATATTCCAAAGAATTTTGTATTTATCATTTTCCATGACGCCCGCTACATATTCTGGGTCGTATCATGGATGGACCTCTGTGTCAAAACCACAAGCATGGCATTAATATTATTTGTTAGTTCATCAAGCTAATGACCGGGGTTCGATTCCCAACTTTTACAGGATCGTAAATCAGTGATAAAAAGATTCACGAAAATGTGTATATTAAAGTCCGTTTAAGAGGAGTATTAAACGCATTTCTTTGTCTTCAAGATGTTAGATGCTCTGTCAACCGAAGACGAGATGAAAGGCCTTGCTTCTTAGATATCTGATGCATACAGTGCAATGTTCCATTGCGTAGTAGGGAATCGTTAATATATACGAAATAACTGTAAATAAATAGCTTAAAGGACAGTCTCTTTTTGCACCCGATGTTTTTATTTCATATTATACCACAGGTGGATGTGATTAAGTCAGCCGAGTGTTGAAATAAAACCTGAAAAAAATTTCTGGAATACGTGGCAATTATGAGTAAGATTTATGTCCACCGGGGCTACTTAACGCCGGGACAGCGTGTAGGGAGAGGCATCATTTCGTGATATCCAAGTTAAAGAGGTAATGGCATACCGACTTACACGTATCAAGGAGGGTATAATTACTGTGTGTAAGAACATGACTCATAATCGGAATTGATACACACCAAACGGGGTCATGGTCTCCATGAAGTTGGTTCTGTTATTAAAGACCCCTACCCCGTCTCCGTCACAGTCAACGTCCCCGTCTCCGTCTCCGTCACAGTCACCGTCCCCATCTCCGTTACAGTCACTGTCCCCATCCCCGTACCCGTCCCCACCCCCATCTCCGTCACAGTCACGTCCCCATCTCCGTCACAGTCACGTCCCCATCCCCGTCACAGTCACCGTCCCCACCCCCGTCACAGTCACCGTCCCCACCCCTATCCCTGTCACAGTCACCGTCCCTATCTCCGTCACAGTCACAGTCACGTCCCATCTCCGTCACAGTCACCGTCCCCATCCCCATCCCCGTCCCCGTCCCCGTCCCCGCCCCTATCCCCGTCACAGTCACCGTCCTTATCCCCGTCAGAGTCACCGTCCCCATCTCCGTCACAGTCACGTCCCCATCTCCGTCACAGTCACCGTCCCTATCCCCATTCCCGTCACAGTCACCGTCCCCATCTCCGTCCCCGTCCCCACCCCCATCTCCGTCACAGTCACGTCCCCATCTCCGTCACAGTCACGTCCCCATCCCCGTCACAGTCACCGTCCCTATCCCCATTCCCGTCACAGTCAACGTCCCCATCTCCGTCCCCGTCCCCACCCCCATCTCCGTCACAGTCACGTCCCCATCTCCGTCACAGTCACGTCCCCATCCCCATTCCCGACACAGTCACCGTCCCTATCCCCGTCACAGTCACCGTCCCCATCCCTGTCACAGTCACGTCCCCATCCCCATCCCCGTCACAGTCACCGTCCCTATCCCCGTCACAGTCACAGTCACCGTCCCCATCCCCGTCACAGTCACCGTCCCTATCTCCGTCCCCGTCCCCGCCCCTATCCCCGTCACAGTCACCGTCCTTATCCCCGTCAGAGTCACCGTCCCCATCTCCGTCACAGTCACGTCCCCATCTCCGTCACAGTCACGTCCCCATCTCCGTCACAGTCACGTCCCCATCCCCGTCACAGTCACCGTCCCTATCCCCATTCCCGTCACAGTCACCGTCCCCATCTCCGTCCCCGTCCCCACCCCCATCTCCGTCACAGTCACGTCCCCATCTCCGTCACAGTCACGTCCCCATCCCCATTCCCGACACAGTCACCGTCCCTATCCCCGTCAGTCACCGTCCCCATCCCTGTCACAGTCACGTCCCCATCCCCATCCCCGTCACAGTCACCGTCCCTATCTCCGTCACAGTGACCGTCCCTATCCCCATTCCCGTCCCCGTCCCCGTCCCCATCTCTGTCCCCGTCCCCACCCCCATCTCCGTCACACTCACGTCCCCATCCCCGTCACAGCCACCGTCCATATCCCCATCCTCGTCCCCATCCCCTTCCCCGTCCCCATCCCCATCCCCGGCACAGCCACCGTCCATATCCCCATCCTCGTCCCCATCCCCTTCCCCGTCCCCATCCCCATCCCCGGCACAGCCACCGTCCATATCCCCATCCTCGTCCCCATCCCCTTCCCCACCCCCATCTCCGTCACACTCACGTCCCCATCCCCGTCACAGCCACCGTCCATATCCCCATCCTCGTGCCCATCCCCGTCCTCGTCCTCGTCCTCGTCCTCGTCACCGTCACCGTCATCGTTACCGTTACCATGCCACCACGATCCACATCCCCATTCCCGTCGCCATTCTATCCCGATCCACATCTCCGTCTCTAAAATAGCAGGCATACTTAGGGTTGTTGTTAATATTCTACTTCTGAACTTTTAAGTTTCTTCTTTTATACTTTCACACCATACTAAAATGGGTATGGATTGTATTCACGCCTGATTTAGCAGTATTCCAGTGATATCACGGCAGAGAACGCAGAGAACGAGCGCCAAAATTGTACTACAGTAAACTACGGTTATAACGAACACGCTTATAACGAACTGACGATATAACGAACTTACTTTTTTGTCCCGACTATTTGCTGTAGGTGTGCTGTATATATGCATATAACGAACCACGTCTACAACGAACTAAAATTAGTGGTCCCTTTCAGTTCGTTATAACCGTAGTTTACTGTACAGTGTATTGTGTGGACTCGAACCTGTTGTTATAAAGAGTATTCACTTTAACCACAGTAACCAACTAACCCTTCCACTCATCCACACATTAATGTCAGCTTGCAAAGCATATCTGAGTAAAAAATCAAATTGCAAAATTCAAAGGTACACGAATTTATGCATTCTTTTATGACGTATTTAAAACGTGTGATGTATGCTCAGATGCTGGTGTATTTTTTCTTGTGGCATGATGCGGTTCCTGTTGCGCAATACATTCACGTTGACAATAAACTTATGATTTTTCAGATTTTAAAAAGACCCCAGCAGGGACCGTATCATGTTGTTTTATTACCAAGCAATAAATATTAGGGGACTTTTTGAGTTACAACCACATCAATGACTCTGTGTGGACGTGGCAACAAAGACAACAAAGAGGACATGCAGTTTAGTGCCAATGTGTTACATACGCTCTGTCAGTTGTACTAAAACCTGCACATGCTTTATACATTAAGGTATGGATAGTTTATGCGTAGATGTTAAAGAATATTTTTCATGATGTGTCTGATTTCGCTCAGCAAGTCAGTCTTGCAAGCGACACACACACATGATGCATTGTACAGATACAGTAAGCTACGGTTATAACGAACTCAAAAGGGACCACCTCTTTTAGTTCGTTATAACCGTAGTTTGTTGTAGTGAGTGAGTGAGTTAATGCTTAACGTCACATCGGCAATATTTCAGCCATATCGTGACGATAGTTTTTTGTTTTTGTTGTTGTTGTAAGCATATGTGCAGCGTATATACTACAAATGAACGGGACCAAAAATATACAGTTCGTTATATCCGTCAGTTTGTCATAAGCGTGTTCGTTATAACCGTTTATTGTAGATAGGAGCGACAAAACCGTTTTCGTAACCATACAAAATCTCTGCTTAGAGCAGTAGTATTATGTGACTGCGTCATACGCATTTCTTTATGGATCACTATCAATGAGTGAGTATGGTTTTACGCCGCTTTTAGCAATATTCCAGCAATTTCACGGCGGGGGACACCAGAAATGGGCTTCACACATTGTACCCATGTCGGGAATCGAACCCGGGTCTTCGGCGTGACAAGCAAACGCTTTTATCACTAGGCTACCCGACCGCCCCATCAAGTTGTGACAATAACAGGTGTAGAATGCAGCTTAAGTATAAGTAGCATGGTTATGTTTAATGGGCAAAGGACTGAGCAAATTGCACTTTGATATGGCCACGTCATCTTAGCTTAGCATTGCTGTGCTGCGTCAGGCAACAAACACATACTTACTTCTTTAACAAATCGTGTGTGTGGCGGGTGCTACCTGTAGAACAGGACATGCTTACCCTTTTCGCGAACACCTGGCGTAATCACTGAATTCAATGATCCATTCTTATTGTGTTCTCCGTGTTTTTTACTCCCAATGGATAATCGAGATTGGTTGTTCTCAAGCGTTGACGTCATACTGCGCCATGGTAAAGTAAGATATCCTGTAATTGTAGCCCTCAATGCTGAATTACTCTCTTTTAAGGGGGGTGATCTAGTGGTTTAAGGTGCCTAACCCTGAAGGGAGTTGTGTCCCTTAGCCGTGCAGCATCCTTAGTCATGCGTTCGAATCTAATTCGTGTTGATTGTTTATCTTGGTCAATACCATATCCTTGTTCATAGCTTCAAGCTGTCTACGACATGCGTGATTTGAGTTTATCCTGATCAAAAATAGTTCTGATTTCATTCACTCACTCACATCATATTAAAGTTATGAGGATAATTCTAATTCTAATAAGTCGTACTCTACGTTAAAGTTTAGTATGGTGTATGGTACTATTAGTATGAGATAGAGCTAGTATCATTGTCTTTCTCACAGGCCCCTGTGTCGTTGCTTAAATATTTCCAGGGCAACTTGCACAAAGCGATCTCAGCGCTAAGACTATCGTAAGCCTATGTTGAAGTATGGGTGTTACGATCATCTTAGCGCTAAGATCGCTTTGTGCAAGTGGACCCAGATCAATTAACACCACGAGTGTCAGAAATACGCTGTCCAATTATATCTGTTAAAGAACGACAAGGGCCTGTGTATTTTTCTCCCACATTGACTCCATTTAAAACCTACAATGTGTCGATCACAATATGTCCCGAAACAATATTCCCGTGCTCTGACATCAAGTCGATCTTTCCTTTAAACTACATTCAACCAGACCCCGCGTTCACAAAGCGACCTCAGCGCTACGACTAATGCAAGCCTTTGAGTTACGATCGTCGTTGCGTTAAGGTTGCTTTACAAATGTACCAGGACGTCGCATACCCATCCTACATCATTTATTATTCTCATTTATTTATTGCTCAAGCTGGGATATCAAACAACCATTATGTACAATGTCGCATTGTGTGTCTGCATGAGTATGTGCATATTCGCAACTGTAGAAAAGAAGCGGCGAACAAAAGATCAGAACGGGTCACAAAAGTTAATATCTATCGAAAAAAGCCAACATCAACTAAATTATATTCCCATAGACGATGTGAAGGTACGTGTGAAATCTGTATAAAGCATGTCCCGTTATGACTGCGCTGCCGTAGCCAGATAATGTTGATATATTGCTCCCTATGTCGCTGTCGTAAGTTGCCAGATAACAATACGTCGCTACGATTCCCACGCACACTCCTTGCCAACACAATAGTCTGTTTTTATGAAATGCGGAATATTGTAATCCAAGTCATACCGATAATGTTTTCTCTTTCAGGCCGTGAGAAACAGCATATCTTTGTGCATACAAAAGTTCGCAAGGGAACGGCAACGTCACGCATCGTGACGTTACGTTTTGGCGTTATTGCCGAAAATACAGTTATTGAAAATAATTCTTAAATCACGGTCAATTATCTTCAACTGACATTTACGCTTGACTAGGTACAAATGGTCATACGTTTCATGAATCCCGTTAGAATCTGGATGGTTATTATCCCGGTAGGGTAATCAAGCGCGTTGTCACGGTTACTTGAATATGTATTAAACGCAGTAACAATAAGGTCTTCAAAATGTTCTGCCGGCTGAATGGACACACTGTTATCAAAGAGAAGCCTATAATTCATTGGTGGGAGTTATACCTCGGGGTTACATATCTCGGGTTATTATAACCATCGGATGTTATTATTATCAGAAAATTACTAAAACGTTCCTTAATCATGTGACTTCTCACTACCCTACAAAATGGCGTGGTTACGTTTCTTTCAAAATCTCAACAAAGTTGATGAAGGTTTCAAAGTAACTCGACACGAACAGCGCCAAACAGGGAAGAATTTTAACGAAGATTGATGACGATGCACAACGTTTGTGAAATTCGACCTTCTCACGATCAAGCTTGAAATGAGACACAATATCCATTACGCAAACCAACACCAAGTCAAAATCATTGGAAATATGAACCTGTTCTTAATTTCCAGTTGGTTGTGTCCTGGTCTTCTACAACTAGTTTGATCGTTATACGTGAAAGTGTTTCACACGATTTGTCGATAGGTTTCGGAGTCGCAAAGTTAAATTTTGTAATTAGTTTTTGAAACGTCATCAACATTGACGGACATTTCTTCATCGTTAATGAAAGCTTGTCATCTTTAGAATGTGATGTCTATTAAAGTACGTGCGAGGAAAATTCGTTGTCATGACTGTCATCACCTTGATTAAGGTTAAATGATATTTCGGCTTTGTTACGTCAATCTGTATAGGGCGTGCTTTTGCGATGACGTCTTAACTAGTTACGGAGACGATTACTCAACGACAGGTTGAGCTAGTTAGAGATTCCTGTAGGATCTTTTAACCTTCACAATAAAATTCAAAATATTTGAAACGTTCATTGCTTATGTTACATATGTTGTTTCATCTTTCTCTCTTTCTTTCAATTTTCAATGGGGGGGGGGGGGGGGGGGGGGGTTGTTGGGGGGACGGTCGGGGAGCCTAGAAATTAAAGCGTTTGCTCGTCACGCCGAACCCGGGTTCGATTCCCGACATGGGTACAGTGTGTGAAGCCCATTTCTCGTCTCCCCCGCCGTGATATTGCTGGAATAAAGCGGCGTAAAATCAAACATACTCACTCACTCTTTCAATTGCTTATTAAAAAATATAAATGACACAAATAAATCTAAATGAGTAAGTTTTGAAATAAAAACGAATGTTCATTACAGTCATCAGTCTTGACTTATGCTACATGAACCAATGCTACAATTTGACCAAATGATAGTCAGTTAATAATTCATGTCTTACTAAATTGAGGATCGCATGGTCAGAAGGGCGACAAAGTCGGTGGAGTAGCCAAGCGGTTAAAGCGATCGCTCATCACGAAATAGGCCCAGGCTCAATTCCACATGTGGGTAATATGTGTGAAGCCCATTTCTGTTGTGCCCTGTGATGTTGCTGGAATAGTGCTAAATGCGGCGTAAAACTATACTCACTTGTCACAACCAAACGATCAGCTGTGATGGTTTGCTGGGAAACATCGTTGTTGTTGTTCATACTATCAACCCTGTGTTTGCGTGTGCCTGAGCAGATAATACTTTGAAGGCCGCCATGGCATAGTTCATCTTCCCGAGGCAAGGGAATTAACTGACTATAAAAGTCCAGTTTCCACCCTTGCCGAACGAGGCTGGTATTATGGAGTTATAATTGGGCTGGACTAACGAATCTAGGCACAGTCCAATAAGAATCGCGTAACGAAATTGACTTTCGGTTCTAAACCTGCCGTGCAGATTTCATTCGATCGCAAGATTTGCAAAGCATGTGTACCGACAACTTAGCGTCAACAGATATTTTCCAAATCGCGTCATGTTTGTAATCAAGGTGCTCACGTGATTTGATGCATCTTGCAAAGTAAGACCCGTTTTATTACAATATAGATCTTGATTATCGATCAGATCATCTTCACTGGGCGACGCCATTTTATTTGAATCAAATGCAAGTGATATGACAGGTGGAATCTGATTGGTCATTAGGAGGGTCATAGAAGGGACATAACTCGTAATAGCCACTGGTGGCGCTACAATCGAAACCAGAAATTTTAGCCAAGTTCGGCACGAGTGGAAACTGGACTTTTATAGTCACTTAACTCCCTTGCCTCGGGAAGATGGGCATAGTTAGGTTTCGGTCAAGATGTAATAATACCCAATTGACTCACTTTGTCCACTGGTATGTGAAGGGATTATTCACCATATACAACTGTTAAGAGGTCTTCTGTGTCACCGGTGGGGGTGGGGTGGGGGACACGGATGGTCCTGTGGTGTATGGCGCCGCAATTCCCTATAAATAGTTGCGTCCCTTGGGAACGCCAGAAACCTATGATCGTGGGTTCGAATCCCGGTTCGCCCCTACGATTATGTTTCTATGTTTGTCAGCACCATAGTATTACCGATGCTCGTGGGTTTCACCGAAGTGGGAAACGTCTGAGACCAGCATCACTTCTGGCTTTCCTCCCACATCAAGCTGACACGCCGTTTATAACTGGAATACTGCTCAAAGCGGCGTTAAACTCAACTCACTTACTCAGTAATGGTAGACTGAAATATACTTATAATGATCTAACCTTGCTCTAGATATACAGTAAACTACGGTTATAACGAACTCAAAGGGACCACAAATTTTTGTTCGTTATAACCGTAGTTCGTTATAAGCATATATACAGCAAATGTACGGGACCCAAAAAACAGTTCGTTATATCCGCCGGTTCGTTATAAGCGTGTTCGTTATAAACGTAGATTACTGTATTGGTAAATGGAGTGACAAGCTCAAAATGCCATGTCGAATAATTTACGTGTTGTCAGAGACATAAGTATAATATATATCTGTTTATTTGGTTAACAAAATGTAAATGCAACATATATCAACAAAAGTGTAAAGTAAGAAACATGTGTGTGCAGTTAGGCAGGGTACAAGTGCCATTAAGTTATCCTCATTGAAAATTACAAAAATCTAAATTATACTACGAAGGTAAACGAATCATTTGTGTCACTGAAATCAGAATGTAGCAAAGCAAATTCAAAACCATGGGCAAATCAAAGAAATCCAACATCCTGTAACAGGCAAATATCATCATCATCTTTATCATCAGGTGTTAATGTCGTTGTAAAGTGATAACGCGTTGCCTTGACCACCCGAAGAAGGCTTTTTTACAAAGCAATCAGGAAACATGTATTTCTGACCAATGTATATTGCAAGGCTGTAAACAAGTGAGTTTAGTGAACAACGAATGATATTGAAAATATACTCTGTCACAGATACGTGTACTCTCACGTGACTGTACTATCTCACTGTCACAAATGCGTGACTTACTCTCTCACTGTCACAGGTACGTGTACTCTCACAGGTACGGGTCTTACTCTCTCACTGTCAACTGGTACGTGACTGTACTATCTCACTGTGACAAATACGTGACTTACTCTCTCACTGTCACAGGTACGTGACTGTACTCTCTCACTGTCACAAATACCTGACTTACTCTCTCACTGTTACAGGTACGTGGCTGTACTCTCTCACGGTCACAGGTACGTGAATGTACTCTCTCCCTCTCTCTCTCTCTCTCTCTCTGTCAACAGGTACGTGACTGTACTCTCTCACTGTCACAAATACCTGACTTACTCTCTCACTGTCACGGGTACGTGGCTGTACTCTCTCACCGTCACAGGTACGTGAATGTACTCTCTCTGTCAACAGGTACGTGACTGTACTCTCTCACTGTCACAAGTAAGTATACTCTCTCACTGTCACAAGTAAGTATACTCACTCACTGTCACATGTACGTGACTGTACTCTTTCACTGTCACAGGTACGTGACTGTACTCTCTCACTGTCACAGGTACGTGAATGTACTCTCTCTCTCTCTCTCTCACTCTCTCTCTCTCTCTCTCACTGGTACGTGACTGTATTCCCTCACTGTCACAGGTACGTGAATGTACTCTCTCTCTCTCTCTCTGTCACAGGTACGTGACTGTATTCCCTCACTGTCACAGGTACGTGAATGTACTCTCTCTCTTTCACTCTCTCTCTCTCTCTCTCTGTCACAGGTACGTGACTGTATTCCCTCACTGTCCCAGGTACGTGAATGTACTCTCTCTCTCTCTCTCTCTCTCTCTCTCACTCTCTCTCTCTCTCTGTCACAGGTACGTGACTGTATTCCCTCACTGTCACAGGTACGTGATTGTACAATATCACTGTCACAGGTACGTGAATGTACTCTCTCTCTCTCTCTCTCTCTCTCTCTCTCTCTCTCTCTCTCTCTCTCTCTCTCTCTCTCAGGTACGTGACTGTACTCTCCCACTGTCACAGATGCGTGTACTGTGATAGATAAATATAGCAAAGGGCGGCTTGATGCACACGCCATTGATTATCAAACTGATATAGAGAGTTAATTTCTGCCAACAAAAGTTAACTCAACTTTTATATGTGATGCTTTCATGATAGTAATACTGTTTTCAATGTCCCATTTACGAGAGCATACATGGGTAAGTCACACTTTTAGCGTTATATCGCCTGTCTAGCGACTGTATTAGTAAACACCTGGGCCCGTTCAACAAAACAACCTTAGCATTAAGACTTATGAAGTGCAACCGTTGTAATGCTGACATAACCAGGGCCCCGTTTCACAAAGCGACATTAGCGCTACAACTGGCGTAAGATCGCTTTGTGAAGCTGGGTCCTGGATTAATACGTTTTTTGTTTATACGCTGAGCGTTGGGCATTTTTTTCATGCAACTTAATGTAAGTTAATATGGACTTTGTTTAATAAAATAATGTTGTCTGTCGTAACTCCCATTTTCTAACTTACAACAGTCAAAGTGCTAAGACTGCTTCATAGAATTATGCCTTTTGTTAACCCTTTATGTGTCAGCTGTATTTAGCGCAAGGTTACTGTTCTTGTAAAATAAAATCAGTTAATAGAGTTTTTTCACATAAATCAATAATATCTTTGTGGACTCTCATTATCTCAAACCTTGGATAATGCTTATCTCTTTGTTCATTTTACATTTTTTATCTTTCTCCATCTCGATCCTCGGGATCTTCTTGCACATTTTTACAGCATATCCTATTTCGAATCCATTTGGTTACGATTGTCTGGGTAAGATCGCTTCGTGCATGTGGACCCCAGTATCTCAAAACCTTCCAATGTACTTCACCAAAGACAGATTCGCTGTATACGAAGTCAACAAGTAGCTTGACAAACCACACAAAAGCACACACAACACTGTTCAAGAAGTCATCAGCTCCGCGTTTCCAGATCCGGACTGGTGGTGATGAGGGACTGTCCTGGTCTGTCCGACGCCATAGAAGTGTACATCATCTTGGAGAGACTGGTGTCGGAGAACTTAAACTGTCTTTTGTCATAGAACTTGAGCAGGACTTGGCTGTTTGGGTGGAGGTTCTTGAGGTGAAGGTAGTGCTGAGCGGGATCCTCTGTGGTGTGTCCACAGTCTTCGCACACATACACTTTGTTCCGCCTCTCCTTGTAAGCAAAGGACTGATCCGTGCCATGAACCTTCTTGCAGTGGGACTCAAGGGAGCAACGCTGGGTAAATGCCTTGCCACACACTAAGCATTTGTAGGGACGAACACCTGAAATGATAGTTTGAAAGATGATAGATTACAAGATTGGTGCCCGTTTGTTGTTTAACGCTGCACTCAGCAATATTCCAGCTATGGTGGCAGTCTATAAATTATTGAGTCTGGACCAATAAGCTAACCATCCATCAAGTCACCACTCACGAAAAGCTTAGGTTTCTTAGGATCTCTTATAACCCGGATTCCTAACGGAGAATAAATGGTGACAGGGAGAGTGAGAGAGAGAGAGAGAGAGAGAGAGAGAGGCACAGAGAGGGGGAGAGATGAGAAGAGGGTAGGGAGAGACAGAGGAGGAGACACAGAGACACATAGAGAGAAGGGGAGAGGTGGGGGAGAGAGAGAAGAGAGGGGGAGAGACAGACAGACAAAGAGGACATAGCCTTATATTGTGTGATGGTCATAAAAAGACATAGTCATATAACCAGACCATTGCCAATACCACCTTTTCTTAAGAAAACATTTATTTGACAAATTAATTAAAATATGTCTGTCTGATTCGGGCACTGATCTCTTCCCATGATGTAAAGGAATTTCATACTACGAATGTAAACATCACATGTATAAGGAGGGTCGAAACGTCTCTGCTCAATGCCCGTCTGCTTCACAGATGCTTAACTTGTAAATATTATTTTAGGACACCCTTTGTCATAATTGCCATTTGCAGTTTCGTATGTTTCTACATGTCACCTAAAGTTTGCTGGGAGCTGATGCGTTATTGTATCAAGTACGGCATTGCCAATCAACGTACTACGCCAGCTTGCAATTCTTAAAGGGGGTCAAGCTTTGACCAATTGGCAGTCCCAGCAAATTTGCTTCAGCCATTACCAAAACCCTTCTGTTTGTACGTGTAAACTGCTATATTATGATGGATATCAATCTATCAGTAAATGATAACCTTAATTACACAATCATAGCGTGTAAAGTTAACACTGGTCACTAATTAAAAAGTCTTCACCTTGAAGTGTCCCTATTTAAAGGCGGACTATGCACCATGTGATAATTCCCAGTCTACATCCGGATGATGTAGTTAATGCCATGCGTGGAACGGGGACATTGTCTCAGTGTGATCATGGACAGTTCTAACTGCTAAAATGCCTTGCAAAAGAAAGTATACAAACATTGAAAATTGGATTTTGGTCAAAGAATTACAAACAATTTCAGACAAGCTAAATTACTGAAAACATTTTCTTTGACAGTTCTGACTGCTACTGCCTTGCAAAAGAAAGTAATATACAAAAATTGAAAATTGGATTTTGGTCAAAGAATTACAAACAATTTCAGACAAGCTAAATTACTGAAAACATTTTCTTTGACAGTTCTGACTGCTACTGCCTTGCAAAAGAAAGTAATATACAAAAATTGAAAATTGGATTTTGGTCAAAGAATTACAAACATTTTCATACAAGCTAAATTACTGAAAACATTTTCATACAAGCTAAATTACTGAAAACATTTTCATACAAGCTAAATTACTGAAAACATTTTCATACAAGCTTAATTACTGAAAACATTTTCATACAAGCTAAATTACTGAAAACATTTTCATACAAGCTAAAATACTGAAAACATTTTCATACAAGCTTAATTACTGAAAACATTTTCATACTAGTTACATAACTGCAAACAGTCGCCCCAGCACTGCCAATCTTAGGTCCGAAACACAAGTATGATACCCGTATTCAATGTACCACTATCGAATAGCCATGTCATATTCAGCCACCATCAAATAAGGTGTATAATATTTTGTGCCAGGGGGGTTAGATTGATCCACTTGATAAAAGTTGAGATCATAGACTGGGATTGGAGGGACTTGCTTCTAACTTGCTTGAGGCTGCCAATTGGCTCAAGCCTCATTGTCCCATTGCGAATGGCGATGCAACGGGGAGAGCATAGCAAAAACCTCTTTACAAAACGCCGATTATTAAGCTTCATTACCATAATAAAACAGATATCGTATTGCCGAGAAACCATCTTTGCATGTCCTATGGAAGATATCCTCAACATTTTGAGCTTGTATCCCAGCAGTATGTCAATCTGCACGGTCGTGAAGACAGAAGGTCGACCTGCGAGAGCATGTCTGTCAAGACGTTCCACGGTCTTCTGTGATATCATTATTTAATGCATCTGATAGAGAATGTGGAATGTAAGGTATTCAGCAAAGAAGATATGTTATTCAGCAATTAGTTCTGCAGGTTTCCCCTGCACAAAAGATGTAGACAAGCATCCTCCCTGATTGAAATCATCGTGGCCATGCTAGCACCTTTTTAATATCAGACCATCTACAAAAAATATATTTCTTGTCACGCAGGCATCCATCAGTGAATGATTAAAGTTGGCACTGAAGACATGTTTACATATTGCCGTGCAGGTGTAATTCGGATTGATGAAATTCTATCTTTATTGGGGTGAAAAAATACAAACTTAATATTACTTATTAGTATCAAAAAATGTAGCGAAGCATTTACCGAAGCTGCAGGAGATTGGTGTTTTAATGAGAAAACACATATGTGAGAAATACTTAGTAAGGTGGTATAACAGTTGTGTTCTGGTTTGATGCATGTTGTTCTTTACCAACAAGTGACACGTATGATTGCATTTGGTAAATGAAAGTTTATGAGGCCGGGCTATTTACACAGACAGATAGATAATGCTGCGAGGTGGATAACGTCTATGCATGATCACGATGCGTATACAGGTGTCATGCTTTTCAGATGATTTGTTGTCAGAGATCACAATCATGAAAGGTATTCATGAATAATTATGCTGAGTATCAGCTCCACACCTGTAAGCATGAAACGCCAACACCAGAGAACTACCAATCTCGAGCATCGGCCGAAACAGATTCCATGGGCCGTAAACATATCAGCGGTGATAATTATACGAATAGATCAAACTAGTGATGACACCATTTGACTCCATGCATACACGTTGATGTCTGCGTGTCCTGGTTTGTGTTACGTATGCTTGCTATTCGTATTATAGGGGGAACGGGTGGCCCAGTCGTCTAAGGCGCCGCGATTCGCTGTGCAGAGTTGCGTTCCTTGTAAACGCCAGAAACCTATGATTGTGGGTTCGAATTTCGGTTCGCCGCGATTATGTTTCTAGGTTTGTCAGCACCATACCCGTGCTCGTGGGTTTCACCGAAGTGGTAAAAGTCTGAGACCTGCATCACTTCGGGCTTTCCTCCTATATTAAGCTGACACGCCGCGATATAACTGAAATACTGTTAAAAGCGACGTTAGACACAACTCACTCACTCACTCGTACTAAATGAGCAGTTGTTATGTTTGTTCTCCTGTTGATTTCGTGTTTTACATGTTTCTCGAACTTCAACAACTGTTTCTGCCGAATATACCCATATTTTCCAAGATATTTGTTTACCGTTTCTTAGAAGGAATATATTGCTATCTTAAGCTACCATTACTAGCCTTGGTGTAAAACAGATGAATGGCGTATGACCAAGATAAACTCTGCTGAATAAAACCCAAATGGTTTGATCATGATCAATTATATTCAATTGGTTGTTGTGACTAACATCTGCTCTGATATCACATTGAAAAAAACACCTTCAAAAGTAAGTTATGACGGTTAAGAAAAACTATGTGTCACCTATATCACCTTATAGAAATACATCGCACAGCAGAACAAATTATTTGTTGTTGACTGGATTCTATTTATAAGGCAGAAAAGTAAGGATGTAAAAGATAACATCGATCAAAACTAACTTACACCTGTACACATACTGCTAAAAAATTTAAGGACCATGAGGAGTCTTTCATGTTACTAAAGTTACTGTCATGCAATAATCATTTTGGGGTAGTATTTGTATCACAGCGAGGTTTATCATGACAGAATCCTGGTTTTGGACATGGGGGTGTTACATCAGTCAATAGTGTTGTTTATTTATTAAAGATAACCACCGACCGCTCATTTCAAGCCCTGCTTAATACTCAATTGAGGTCTACATTGTTTTGCTTTGTATTTTTTCAACACAGACGTCCTGAGTGGTAGCTATAATACCAGTGTCGTGTTCAGAAAGGCAATTTCTATTTAAAAGTATGTATCACGTGGTCCCTCAGGTCCTCCACCCTTTAGTTATCCCTCAATGGCATCCTTTAAAGCGGTTCAGAGAGGTTTCCTGGCAAATGGGGTACAACGACCTGGCAAGATCGAGCCAGTCAGGATAATAGTCTAATAGTCATATCCTGTGACCATCAGAATCTAAAGTTCAGCGGTGATTTATACAACAGGGATGTACACGTCAGTTCCGTCCTAGAATACGGTGCATCGTATAAGGATTTGCTGGTTCGACCTACCTGTGTGTGTCCTGGTGTGTCGCTTCAGGTCAAACGTGTCATTGAAACCCTTGCCACAGAAGGTGCAAAGATAGCGCTTGACATCACTGTGACACTTGATGTGTCTGTTGAGCAGACGCTGAAGGGGGAACAGCTTGCCGCAAACCCGACATGCGTACCTGTCGTTGTCGTTCTCTAAACCTGGGGAACAGGAAGATACAAGGTACACCTGATTTGCTTTAGTTGGGGAACAGTCGAGAACACCTGACTCACGTCAATTGGGGAACGGTCAGACATAGCGAACACCAACCTTGCTTCAATTTGAGGAGCAGTCACATATTTAGAACACCAAACTTGCTTCAGTTGTGGAACAGACACATATTTAGGACACCAAACTTGCTTCAATTAGGGGACAGTCACATTTTAGGACACCAAACTTGCTTCAGTTGGAGAAAAGTCAGATATAAAGAACACCTGACTTGCTTTATTTGGGAAACAGTCAGGCACATAGAACATCAAACTTGTCAGTTATGAATACCTGATAAATTTCAAATGGAGAACATTCATAAATACTGTATACAGGACTTGATTTAATTTATTTTTAAAGTAAAATATATAACACACATTTTCAGTAGAATTTAGAACAATGCAACTTTATATCATGAGTATGATCCATGAGAAACTTCAGATAATGATCATACAAACTTATACTTATTGTTCACAGATACATTCTCACACCGGACATACAGACGACACGGAGATGTAAGAATGTGCACACAACGTACAGATGTACACACACAACATGCAGCCGTACACACAACGTACAGATGTAACTACAACGTACAAAAGGTACACACCACAGCTGGACAGTGTTATTTCCGTCTGTACCGCCGTCTGTCCAAGCAAGGGGTTCTTGATCCCGTAGCCGCCGTTGATGACCTCCACGCCATTGCTTGTTATGTGCTGCCACAGAAATAATAATAATAATAATAATAATACTTATAGTCCACTTCTATGGCGCTGTACTCCATGCATGGGTCAATTGATCAGTGTGCACTCAACAATCATTCTCTTCTCCCTGGGGAATATGAACATGATGTCACAAAACACAATATTCAACTAAACGACACTAAAACCTTTATATTCTATTTAGTAAAGTAATTGAGGTTCCCGGGTAATATCTACGTTATATCATAGAGTGTTTGCTTTCTGTTCAAGATGAAAATGGATACATTTCAAATTGGTAAAGAAAACGGGAATGGAGCATAATGCTGACAGTTAAAGAAAGTCACTTTGGTAAAGACAACGAGCATGGAGTATGGTGCTGAGAGTTGAAGAAGGGCACTTTGGTAAAGACAGCGAGCATGGGGTATGGTGCTGACAGTTGAAGAAGGGCACTTTGGTAAAGACAACGAGCATGGGGTATGGTGCTGACAGTTGAAGAAGGGCACTTTGGTAATGACAACGAGCATGGGGTATGGTGCTGACAGTTGAAGAAGGGCACTTCGGTAAAGACAACGAGCATGGAGTATGGTGCTGACAGTTGAAGAAGGGCACTTTGGTAAAGACAACGAGCATGGAGTATGGTACTGACAGTTACAGAAGGGCACTTTGGTAAAGACAACGAGCATTGGGTATGGTACTGACAGTTACAGAAGGTAACTTTGGTAATGACAACGAGCGTGGGGTATGGTGCTGAGAGTTGAAAAGGGTCACTTTGGTAAAGACAACGAGCATGGGGTATGGTGCTGACAGTTATAGAAGGGCACTTTGGTAAAGACAACGAGCATGGAGTATGGTGGTGACAGTTAAAGAAGGTCACTTTGGTAAAGACAACGAGCATGGGGTATGGTGCTGACAGTTAAAGAAGGTCACTTTGGTAAAGACAACGAGCATGGGGTATGGTGCTGACAGTTGAAAAGGGTCACTTTGGTAAAGACAACGAGCATGGGATATGGTGCTGACAGTTACAGAAGGGCACTTTGGTAAAGACAACGAGCATGGGGTATGGTGCTGACAGTTGAAGAAGGGCACTTTGGTAAAGACAACGAGCATGGGGTATGGTGCTGACAGTTGAAGAAGGGCACTTTGGTAAAGACAACGAGCATGGGGTATGGTGCTGACAGTTAAAGAAGGTCACTTTGGTAAAGACAACGAGCATGGGGTATGGTGCTGACAGTTACAGAAGGGCACTTTGGGAAAGACAACGAGCATGGGGTATGGTGCTGACAGTTACAGAAGGTCACTTTGGTAAAGACAACGAGCATGGAGTATGGTGCTGACAGTTACAGAAGGTCACTTTGGTAAAGACAACGAGCATGGAGTATGGTGCTGACAGTTGAAGAAGGTCACTTTGGTAAAGACAACGAGCATGGGGTATGGTGCTGACAGTTGAAGAAGGACACTTTGGTAAAGACAACGAGCATGGAGTATGGTGCTGACAGTTGAAGAAGGTCACTTTGGTAAAGACAACGAGCATGGAATGTTGTGCTGACAGTTAAAGAAGGGCATTTCGGTAAAGACAACGAGCATGGGGTATGGTGCTGACAGTTAAAGAAGGGCACTTTGGTAAAGACAACGAGCATGGGGCATGGTGCTGAGAGTTGAAGAAGGTCACTTTGGTAAAGACAACGAGCACGGACTATGACACTGAGAGATAAAGGATCAAAATAACAATCTGGACTCACTGAGTACTACCGCTGCTTCAAACAATATTTCAGTAATAACACTGCGTATCGGCATGATGTCGAAGGTCGTTTGCCGCGTTGGTGAAAACCACCATTACTGTTGCTGAGTGAGTGAGTGAGTGAGTGAGTTGGGTTTAACGCCGCTTTTAACAGTATTCCAGTTATATCACGGCATGTCAGCTTAATGTAAGAGCAAAGCCCGAAGTGATACAGGTCTTAGACGTTTACCACTTCGGTGAAACCCACGAGCACGGGTATGGTGCTGACAAACCTAGAAACATAATCGGGGCGAACCGGGATTCGAAACCACAATCAAAGGTTTCTGGCGTGTCCAAGGGACGCAACTCTGCACAGCGAATTGCGGCGCCTTAGACGACTGGGCCACCCGTGCCTCCTGGAATGGTGCTGACAGAGTCAGGGCAGACGAATCTGAGATTCGAACCCACCATCGGATGATCCTTCACAGTTTGCGTGAAGCGACACTGGCGTTGCCTTTTTAACCTTTCAGCCATATTACGGCGGTAACCAAGAAGAGGTTTAACATTAAATTCAATGTAGGTTCTGTGTGTGATGAACTCAACAACTTCTGGGCCGTAAACTTATGTTCCAAAACTGCGTTTTCTGTACAGTGTATAATGTGAGTGAGACAGTTGGATTTATCGCCAGTTTGAAAAGTACAGTAAACTACGGTTATAACGAACTCAAAGGGACCACTAATTTTAGTTCGTTATAACCGTAGTTCGTTATAAGCATATATAAAGCATATATACAACAAATCGCCGGGACTAAAAAATAAGTTCGTTATATCGGTCTGTTCGTTATAAGCGTGTTCGTTATAACCGTAGTTTACTGTATTTCATTTAGAAACTTAAATCGACTACTTCCTTGGCATGCGTAGTTTATGCAATCAACCATTGTCTGTATTATGGGCCTATGGCCTTCTTACTGAATAAACTGTCTGTCTGTCTGTCTGTATTTCATTTACGGCGTGTCAGCTTGACATGGGAGTAAAACCCCGAAGGGATGCAGGTCTAAGACAATTGCCACATTGATAAAACCCACAAGAACGGGAGCTGACAGCGCCAGGGCGAATCTGGGGTTTGAAGTCTGGATGACAGGTCCCAAAGGGCCGCAACTTCGCACAGTGTATATATCACGAATGTCTTAGGCGATTTGGCACACATGCCTCAAGTACACATCAAGGACATAATGAATGTAGGCGCTACCTGTATTACTGGAGCTGGTGACGTGACGATGCTGTGTTCCGCTGTGTTGTCGTGGTTGTAGTAGTGATGCGGCACATGGTGTAGGTGGGGTGGCGGAGGGTGGGGATATGGACTGTAATAACACGGGTATGCGGGTGGGGAGGTGCTGAATGACCCGGGGAGTGGTCCGTGAGGTGACGTCACAATAGGATATGACGTCAGATATGACGAACGATCTGGAGAATGGGATCTGGGGGGATACAGGGGATGTGGAGATATTTGCTTTTCGTCACGGAAACAGGACTCTGTTACCAAGGAGAGCTCCAAGTGATTGTTGTTGGGATCACGTGGTACCGGTGTATTGAGAAGAACATCTTCATCTGCAAGTATAATGGAGTGAGTGAGTATATGGTGAGTTAAACCGTATCAAAGCTACAACCAAGAAGACCTGGCACTCCAGCCTAGGCAATGCAAACCATAGCTGCAAAATCGTACCTACTCCGCAAACTCCGCTTATACTATCCGACATCTACACGTCGCCAATACATAGCTACGATCCCTTCTGCAGTTTTTTCTAGTCCGATGATGAGGTTGCACCAGAATTCAAAAGCTTGGTCACAGTACACATTACAGAATACCCTCTCGTTCCAATACCATATGTTTTGTCTGAAAGTATGCAATGGATGGATGGATGAATGAATCAATGGGTTGATTGATCGGTGGATGATCAATGGACGGGTTGATAGGTGAATGGATGGATGAGTAGATTGATGGTTGGATGATCAATGGACGGGTTGATAGATGGATGGATGGATGGATGATCAATGGATGGATGGATGGATGGATGGATGGATGGATGGATGGATGGATGGATGCACCTGGTCAATATCAGACTGTGGGTGGTAAAGAATATGTTATTCTTTCAAAAGGCGTCACTGTTGCCTTTTTTTAAAGATTTACATCACGCTAATTTTTCAGTCATACAAGTATGTGTTACGACTTTAAACGTTCCACTAATCTAAATCAAGCATTTATCATATACCACAGATGGCCATTAAACAGGCATAGCCTATCATCCTCCCGGATAAAGTTGATTTTCTGATAATAGGTTGTGTGGTAACCTGTTAACAAACTCATATGTGTCCGCCAGGTCGCATTTCACATCGTTGTCTGAGTGTCATCATTTTTAACGTGCTACAGAATTGTATGCTTTCATATGCATAAAAATGCTCTAATAACAAATCCTGGAAAAAGATACTGGGTTCTTGTTTTTTTTGTGTCTGTCGTCTTCACATGACTGGTTTTTTTGTGTCGTCGTTTAGTGTATGATTTTTTTTACGTTTATTCCCGGAATCTAGAGAAACAATAATTTACCAAGACGCCCTCATTAATAAAGATTGTCACATGGATGATATTTGTCGCCCACTTCATTGCTAAATGAACAAGCATCATATGCACCTGCAATTAGAAATTGATTACCTTCCTTCTAAGGGAGTCAAAATGACGGACATCAATGTATGCAGGTGCACACCGTAAAGTTACCTTCACTACCCAACAACGTATCCAGTCACTCAATCCCAGCCACCTCATGTGACTGTATCGCGAAAGCCTCCACACCATCACATCATCACATCATCACAATCACATCTTCCCGAGGCGCAGCCATTTTGTTTGAAGCAAATGCAAGTGCTATGAGAAGTGGAATCTGATTGGTCAATAGGAGGGACATAGAAGGGACATAACTCGTAATAACCACTTCTGGCGCTACGATCGAGCCCAGTAATTTCAGCCAAATTCGGCAAGGGTGGAAAGTTGACTTTTACAGTCAATTTCACTCCCTTGCCTCGGAGTGATGCATAATCAAGACAAGTCGTCATCTCCACGCATCCTCATCACCAACTATCCACCCCGTTGCCTCCACTCCTCTCAACAACCACCCAACGTCCACCTCACCCTCATCTCACCACCAACTATCCTCCCCGTTACCTCCACTCCTCCCAACAACCACCCCACGTCCACCTCACCAACTCACCACCAACTATCCACCCCGTTACCTCCACTCCTCCCAACAACCACCCCACGTCCACCTCACCAACTCACCACCAACTATCCATCCCGTCACCTTTATTCAACTTCACCACCACCACCCAAACAATTTCACTCGACTTAAGCACCACTTCACAATGATTTCACCACCAACTCTCCACCCCGTTATTTCCTCTCAAATTCACCACCACCTCACCACCACCTCACCACCACCTCACCATCACTTCACCCAATCTCACAACCCTGACACCTCCACTCAACCTTAAGATGATTTCACCATCAACTCTCCACCCCGTTATCTCCTCTCAAATTCACCACCACCTCACCATCACTTCACCCAATCTCACAATCCTGACACCTCCACTTAACCTTAAGATGATTTCAGCATCAACTCTCCACTCACCTCCCCCACCGTCCCCACACCCACACCCCCACCCCTACCACCACCTCAGAATTCACAAACAACACCACCGATTCCAACCAAAACGGACATGACAACTCAACAGCAGAGAACACATCAGCAATGACCATTTCAAAGTTTCATTTATTTCGGAAAGCCTTTCCACTGCAATGCACTGAATTGCGTAATTCATATAACATTTCTCGTTGACAATACACCACTGTGTTTTGCCTCACGAATATATTCCAGATGAATAAAATATATCGTCAACGTAGATGAGCAGTTGACAAACAATAACATTTGACATCTAAGCCGTAAAAAGAAGAATGTGCTGTTGTGACAAAGATAGTCTCAGGGTTCTTTGGTGTCTCTGACAACGTTTTCACCGTATACACATGTCGTAATATTGATCCGTAACTTGAATGAGCATGAACACAACGCCGGAAAATATCATGAAATAATAATTGCACATTATCCTACGGCTTTACAGAGCATATCCTATTACTCTGCAGCATGAATTAATCATATCCAGGCAAATAAGTGATAATTCACAATAATAACAAGATGGCTACGTTTTGCCTTCTTTCTCTGGATATTATTGTTGACAGTTGATGTGGCGTTTCATTCTACTAAGTTCAGGACAGTGTTGCTATGCTACGTTGGTGTAGGCAAAGTGAGTGTAGGAGAACTGTCCCATCTCATACAACGTTGACCATTTCGGTCTCAAATCCTGCAACAGCACTTGTGTAACTTGAGTTCACCAACACACATTAAAATATACCGACATAAAACAATATCAGTGTGTTTGGCAAGTTCATTTTATAATTACATTTCATGACTACATTGACTCCAGGCTATTTTTCATAATTTGCGATAGGGTAGGTTGAGCATCAAGAACTGAAAGAACGTTAGCAACACCAAACGAATAATAGAAAAAAAATCACATCAGGATCTATTGTAATGTTTAGTCAGTAGGTTTACAAAATAAGATTTTTTTTTTTGGAAGAAATGTATCGAGAACGCTACGTGTCTACATAGCCACAAAATCTAATATATTTCTTGATTTACTTGTCATTTTTCCGTTTCAGTTGTTTTCTGATACCCGATCGCCTCGGGTCATACTGATCTGTATGCGTATATGTCAAATTTGCCCCACTATTTTCATGAGGTTATACATGTTGCATGTGCAATACACGTATCAGTGGAAAAACACTTTAGCGTAAGCGAGTTATTTTCATGTTGAAAGGATCATATAAGAGGAAGTATATTAATTTATCCTTACTCAAATATATATCATCCGTCATATTTATTGTAGTATATATTTACATTCATATGAGCCTGGATGGGAAAGGTATCAGATAATGTGAAAATAAAGCAATGTGATTCAAAATATTTCACATACTGGTTGTTGATTGCTGTTTAACGCCGCACGCAGCAATATTCCAGTTAAATGACGGCGGTCTGTTAATAATCGAGTCTGGACCAGACAATCAAGTGATTGACATCATGAGCATCAACCACGTCAGAGAGCCTGACCGTCCGATCCCGTTAGTCAGTTCTTACGACAAGCATATCGCAGTTTACGGCACGAATGCTGAAGACCTATTTTAACATTATCATTTATTTAGAACCGGAAATTTGCATATATAAACTATTCAAACACATACCCGTGATATCCGGATTGATACATAACTTTCTTAGGCGTGAACATTTGAAAATTTAGAAAATTACAAATGTTTCCTCACCCAAGGACATTTTCACATTTCAAACCCTTGTACATTTAGGAAATAGTCTGAAAAATTCGAACTTTTGACAATCAGCAGAAATGCATTTGAAATACGCTATGCACATATCGGGAAACATACGCAAATACGGTCATTACACGCTTTCCTGTTGTAATTGCGTCAGTTTCATATGTGTAAAATCCGTCTTTTTGTCACGTGGCCCCTTTTCCATCATATCCATATACATCACCACCTCATCACCATCTCACCACCATCTCACCACCACCTCACCACCATCTCACCACCACCTCATCACCATCTCACCACCATCTTACCTCCATCTCGCCTACATCTCACCACCACCTCACTACCACCTCATCACCATCTCACCACCATCTCACCACCATCTCACCACCATTTCACCACCAGCTGACCAGCATCTCACCATCATATCAGCACCACCTCACCACCACATCACCATCTCACCACATCTCACCACCATATCACCATCATCTCACCACCATCTCACCACCACCTCACCACATCTGACCACCATCTGACCACCATCCCACACCATCTCACAACCACCTCACCACCATCTCACCATCATCTCACCACCACCTCACCACCATCTCACACCACCTCACCACCACCTCACCACCACCTTACCACCATCACACACCTCACTTCACCCCTTTCTTCCAACACACCACAACATCATACCACAGAACCTCAACATCACAATAGGGGCGGTCAGGTAGCCTAGTGGTTAAAGCGTTCGCTCGTCACGCCGAAGACCCGGGTTCGATTCCCGACATGGGTACAATGTGTGAAGCCCATCTCTAGTGTACCCCTTCGTGATATTGCTGGAATATTGCTTAAAGTGGCGTAAAACCATACTCACTCACTCAACATCACAACACATCACCTCAATGAGGTGTTAATTTACTGTTCGATTACAAATCAATACACGTTTTCATCGTTATTCAAGAAGGGTGATTTAGCATCAAACATACTTTATGACATATGTCATGTTATATCGCCTTTCCTAGACTAACATCTAGTCTCTAAAATGAAAATGTCTTTCTGAAAGGTTTTTGTTAAATTATCTTAAAACAATATATTAAAAGTCCAGTTCATTTTCTTGAACTGCAGTAACCTAGACTTGCCAAACTATTATAGCCTTGCATGGGCTGTATTTGATACACTTGTATCAGGGTCTGTTTGACAGACTACGCCTTCCTTCTATAAAATAATATCTATACAGACGGGTATCCTGTCACGATTTAACCTTGTGACCTACAACAGATATACCCAGGAATTCATTTATTCGCGAAGGCCGCATAACGGTGAACCGCTATTCTAACTGGGTTTGTTGTATCTCTTTCCAGGCGTCTACAAACACAGAACCGTCTGATAGGGTGTGGAGGAATGCGACCGGCCATCTTTACTTCGTCCCGTCATTCACACGAGCAGACAGTGCCCATGACCTATTGTTACAGGAATACTGAATGGAAACCACGTGACCTTATGAATGAACAGTTACTCTATTGTTGAATGGCTGTAAAGACAGTTACATCGCGCCACTTGCAACATGATTCGGGGCTTGGCATCCTGTGGTCACATGACAATGGGACGAGATCTCGAGGTCAGTTTTAATAATGGATTCATGCAGGTCCCCTTGCCAAGGACGGGCGTTTGGAAGAGTGAGATATGTGGTCTTCATTGCAGTTACGCCCCTTGGACATATGATAACAATGCATATATGTATACGTGTTTTATTCAGGCTCAAAATGGTTATGGACCACCGTTAGACGTGCGAATCAGAAAAGACAGGAAATTGGTCTCGTATTACCCCCACAGAGTCGATTTTCATTGAGAAACGGAGATACGGCTGAAGGATAGTGTTTATGCGTACAATAATGTTGTTTTTAATAGGATAAGATGCTTCATGATGACAATAGGGACTGATCTAGGCCCAATCTCTACACAGTAAGAGATGAATGGGCATATTTTTCCGTTACTTGCGAAGGGTCGAATTACAACCGTTATGTTATCTCATATGTGCCAAGCGATTGGTTGTTCCTGTGAACACAAACCAACAGCTGCTTGTCTTGTCAGCCTGGCTTTAAAGAAGGAGCTGGCCTGTCACTTCGCTGTCACTAAGTAGGTTATTATGCTATATCTCGCGCCTCGCATTAAAACATAAAAGAAACATTGTACTAAATTAGATAGCTTTTGGCTCAGGTTCCAGCAAAGAAACTGTAAAATGTTTGCTTATTCGGAATCGTGGAGGACATAATGAAAGTGGCTTTGAAAGATCTGATTCTTATACCACCTCGGAATGTAGATAGCGATACGCCAGTGAATGGAATTTTTGTCTTGCCAGTCAATGAATGGGCCCTTCTCTATTACGCCAGTCGTCAGCTATACCCATTAAGAATTTATTAAAGTTTCATGTTACAATGTTTTCATTCTTCAGACCACAACGAGCTGCAACCTAAGTTTTAAATACAATGCATTAAACAATTTTGGAAAAAGGGGATTTTCTGTTGCATTTTTTTCTGTTTTTGTGACAACGCTACCTAACCGATGAGTGTTGGCTCTGATAATGATCTATGCATTGAAAGCTCCTGTGGTGTGCTTCATCCGTTCTCAGTGATGCTCTTTAGTGATGACAGCTAAAAATGCACTTGTCTCCGTTTAACTGGACTGAAACTTTTGATGGAGCATTGCAGGTGTATAGGGGCATTATATGAGAGAAATGCATGTTAATATTAGGTATGAATAATAGCAGTGCATGTGTATAAGAGTCGTGTATAAGAACAGTGCGTGTGTATAAGAGCAGTGTATAAGAGCAGTTCAGGTGTATAAGAGTAGTGTATAAGTGCAGTGCATGTGTATTGGAGCAGTGTATAAGAGCAGTGCAGGTGTATAAGAGCAGTGCAGGTGTATAAGAGCAGTGTATAAGTGCAGTGCATGTGTATTGGAGCAGAGTAAAAGAGCAGTGCAGGTGTATTGGAGCAGTGTATAAGAGCAGTGCAGGTGTATAAGAGCAGTGTATAAGTGCAGTGCATGTGTATTGGAGCAGTGTATAAGAGCAGTGCAGGTGTATAAGAGCAGTGTATTAGAGCAGTGCATGTGTATTGGAGCAGTGTATAATAGCAATGCATGTGTATTGGAGCAGTGTATAAGAGCAGTGCATGTGTATTGGAGCAGTGTATAAGTGCAGTGCATGTGTATTGGAGCAGTGTATAAGAGCAGTGCATGTGTATTGGAGCAGTGTATAAGTGCAGTGCATGTGTATTGGAGCAGTGTATAAGAGCAGTTCAGGTGTATTGGAGCAGTGTATAAGAGCAGTGCATGTGTATTGGAGCAGTGTATAATAGCAATGCATGTGTATTGGAGCAGTGTATAAGAGCAGTGCATACATATCTTGGTGCTGTTGACATGAGAGTTAAGAACCGGATCTATACCACTTGTAACAAATTAACAAGCCTCACTGGGTACATGACACCTCTTGTCCGCCCTCTTTCGAAACAGATTTGTCTTTGTCGAAAAAGCGGTTAGTGCCTTATGAATAATTTATGCATCAAATTATCTGCATCTTTTTTTCTGGGCTAGACTTATACCGGAAGAAACAGATGATCAGATTAGTGAGTGCCATCACACGGGTCACAACATAGCGAACTGCACGTGTTAACCATAGACGGAGAAGCTCATGAGCTGCTGGGATGATTCGGTGGACCTCACACTGTTCTAGGCTAGTACGACAAAAGTGACAGGGACACACAGCTGGGTAGAACTACCCTGTGTACAACTACCCTAAGAAGTCATACCCTGGTGCGATCACTCTAATGGCCTGAATATGTAAGGGAATGATGCTAATGGAACAGGACGATATCTTGCTAGGCTTGATATGGATACGGTTGATGTGGCAGAGGCATGCTCTGCTGGAGGTCTTCATAACGTAAGAGTCATGGGAGGATGGTCCTACTCTTCAACTGCATCCTTGTTTGATTGTTTGTGTGTTTGTTGTTTAAGGCCACACTCAGCAATATTCCAGCTATATGACGGCGGTCTGTAAATAATCGAGTCTGGACCACACATTCCAGTAATTGACATCATAAGCATTGATCCACGCTATTGGGATACGATGACATGCATCAACCAAGTCAGTAAGCCTGACCACCCGATCCCGTTAGGTGCCCCTTTCGACAAGCATCCTTGTGATGCTTTATGGCCCTATGTTGCACCTATGCACCATGTTCTGTAGTTATCCATGTTAGGTTCAAAAAGATGCTTAAAACAATGTACTTTTTTTGTTATCTTATTCTCGCTTGTATGTTTGTTAGTTTGTTGTTTAACGCCGTACTCGGCACTATTCCAGATTTATGACGGCGATCTGTAAATAATCGAATCTGGGGCAGACAATGCAGGGATTGACATCATGTGATTGACCAACGCAATTGGAATACGATAGCATGCACCAAGTCAGTAAGCCTAACCACCCGATCCCGTTAGTCGCCTCTGACAAGAAAGGGTTGCTGAACGCCAATTCTAACCCAGATCTCACGTTTTTTTGTTTATTAATACTGGCGATCTAATAACTGATACCTTGTTAATTTATGTTTATTTTTACATATGTTTATTAAGGCCTATTACACAAAATCTTTTTTTCAAAGACATGTTTATCTCTACTGACGTATAAACGTTACTTGTGCTTATGCTTTGACGGATTCCTGTGTGCGTTCATCGTCGGGTTCGAAGGCATACGCTTACGTCAGGCTCTACCGGTTAGGCGATACACCGCTTGGGGTTAAATGACGCTTTACGGGTTGTATTCACTACATGTAGGTTGTACTGCACACGATCTAGAGAACAGTTCCTACTTGCGAGACCATATGATTCTTTGTATCGCTTTACAAATGTTTTATTAACACAAAAAGAAGACATGGAGAATACACGCACAGATGACGTTTAGAAAACATCTTATCGTTTATAATTTCGTTGACAGCTATCAAATGGATACAATTTGACACAACCGTACAATGGCAGGAGATATTTAAATGGGAGCTGAATTGGTTAAATATGCGAATGTTTAACCATGACTAGAGGAAGCGAACGTTTATATAGGTTTTCATTCTGATGTCACCAATACAGGGACTTTTCATTAAAAGACTTTCTTTTCTTTCTCTGGCAAAATATACTGCTGGGCAAAAGAAAGTACACACCTATGTTTGATGATGGTTAAAATGAAACAAACGAGAAATGGTTATTCGATGGTGATGTATTTGATAGGGGTATCAATGTTGTGTGTGGACCTTATGTTTGCAATGTTTCGGCGACTGTTTTTAGCATGCTGGTAATCGCCGCAAATAGCTGCAAGACTGTTGATGTGGCTTTAAGCATTAACCACTCACTCACTCACTCACTCAGTCTTCTAACGTTTTGATACCGTTTGTAATTTTTTTTTGTATATTTTCTTTTGCCCGGCAATTTATGTTTTTAGAGAGGAGAAAACGAATTTTATATCCCACCGTAACTGTTACAGTATTATATCATCTTACACTTTCATTTTTTAGGACATTGAATTTATGTCGATATTGTACATGCATCTTACCTATTGTTGGACTTGCCCCGTCGCATGATATGCTGTTATCATTGGATTCAGGATTGCAGTCCTCTGAAAATGTCCTACACCGCGCGGGTGTCACAGCAACATCGTCATCTCCACGATAAGTAACACGACGTCGACAATATTTGGTAATCAAAAAACTTCTCGGCATCTTGTCGACATTTAATCACAGGTCCTCAAGGCTCGAATGTATCCATTCACTGCAATGCTTCAGCTCAAAGCCAATAGTCAATAACAGTACTCCGAGCCGATTACTTGCTAATCTTTACTATAAACCGATTAGCAATATCTGTAATATGCGTATCTAATATTACGAAGTTATATACTAAACCTATTGGCCGCTTGAAACAGTTATGAGTTAAAGCAGAGAAGCTTGGCGAGATTGTGAGCGGGTAGAGTGAACGCCGCTATTATAGAGGGAGTGTACAGTTACCCGAGATATCCACTGAGGATGAGAGGGCTGGGTAGCCAACGGTAGTCATTCACCCGTATATACCAGCTCAGGATAACTGTAAACATGGGATACCTCTATTTTGAGAAACAGGACGCGCTGAGTTTTTCCCTCTTATCATGTAACGTGATTATCAAAATAACACTGAAACAGGATTCGTAAGATTTGCTACCAGCAAACCGATCCGCAAGGATGGGTTTTCATTCAATCAGTTTTATATGTATAAATAATAAGCACATTTAGGTTAGGGGGGGGGGGGGGGGGGGGGGAATCTTTGTGCTTAGAAAGACAAATGTGGTACAGTAAACTACGGTTATAACGAACACGGTTATAACGAACAAACGGATATAACGAACTAACTTTTTAGTCCTGACTATATGCTGTAGTGATGCTGTATATATGCTTATAACGAATTACGGTTATAACGAACTATAATTAGTAGTCCCTTTGAGTTCGTTATAACCGTAGTTTACTGTATTTCAAGATACACATAACTTACGACATATTGTTGTATGTTTCCGAATAATACGTCAATTGTAGATAAATGAACACGTATCCTTTTAAAGGAATACGTGAATGCGGATCTCTGCCACTAGAATCTAATACCAAAAGCGCAATCATCCTTCTACGAGTGAGTGAACAATACAGTTATAAAACGGTATGTCAGGCTTTAGTCCACAAACACGGCGTTGGTGCTGACAAACCAGAAAATATGTTAATTAATTGAAATCCCAGATTCGAACCACGATAATATATTTGCTGGCAGTCTAAGCTAACGTGTATCGCTTGATGCATCTCGATAACGGGTAAATCATCGTTTCAGGAAATATCAATATGAAAACCATACATTTTATATCTGTACATTTCAAACAATATATAACTATATACGTCTTTAGAAGAAAGGTATAGGAAAACGGGGAATTTGTCTTCTAGCATAAAGTGCAAATAACGTGTGTAGTCATCTTTCAGGAATACTGAGATGCCAGACAGATCCTGTTTTTAGAGGGGGCACGGGTGGCCCAGTCGTCTAAGACGCCGCATTCGCTGTGCAGAGTTGCGTCCCTTGGGCACGCCAGAAACCTATGATTGTGGGTTCGAATCCCGGTTCGCCCCGATTATGTTTTTAGGTTTGTCAGCACCATACCTGTGCCCGTAGGTTTTACCGAAGCGTTAAACGTCTGAAACCTGCAGCACTTTGGGCTTTCCTCCCAAATTCAGCTGACGCCGCGATATGACTGGAACACAGGCAGCGGCGTTAAACCCAACTCACTTTCTGTTTTTAGACAATATCTAAAAAAATCTACTTTGTTCGCTAAGCTCAACACAACAGGGACTTTCTGCTTGGTTGATATCTATCCGCTTAGTAAGCCCAATGCTGAAAGTTATAATAATTGTTTAAGTATGCGACAGCACCACAAAAGGAAATCTCCTGGCTTGGGTAACGGTTTATATGTACAAGGATCCTGGTGTGTTTATCAAACCTGATTTCATCCATTACTCTGACGCGTGGCAAATTCAAGAGATATTATACAGTGCAGAGGGTGTATACCGTTTAATCTAAGAAATGGTAATAGGAACAGCCGATCAACATAATCCGGATACCTGCTTTGAGGATATTGGATTATGTCACGGTTAATTGGCCTGATATTATTAATTCCACTTGACGCCCATATCCTTCGTTCCCGCTTTAAGAAATCAGCCATAGGATGTCCGGGTAAGGGTAAAGGTACTTGGCAACATATGCTTGTCGTTAGTGACGATTTAGTTGATCCGATGGCTTTGCTGATTGCATGTCAACGTGCGCCGATGCTCATGATGTCAATCAGTTGATTCTCTGGTCCAGACTCGATTATTTACATACATCCGTCATACTGCTGGGGTATTGTTTAGTGCGTCATTAAGCAATAAACACACGGTACATCATCTTAGTGTCTTAACTGTTGATGACCCGGGTGGCCCAGTCGTCTTAAGCGTCGATATTTGCTGTGCAGAGTTGCGCCCCTTGGGCACTCCAGAAACCTATGATCGTAGGTTCGAATTTGATTCGTCCCGATTGTTAGTGTGTTTATCAGCACCATACACGTGCTCGTGGGTTTCACCAAAGTGGTAAACGTCAAAGACTTGCATCACTTTAGGCTTTCCTCTCACATCAATCTTTCTTCCCACATATAACTGGAATACTGTTCAAAGGGGCGTTAAACCCCGCTCACTCATTAAAAATATAATACCCCGTTCACATGCGCCCCCATACATATGGGTGAATATGTGCATATGTGTGTAGAAATACATACATACGTGAATATACTTGTCATGTGAATATTTACATCAGGAGCAAATTTGCATCATGTCTGGAGCAGGTGCAAATGTTAATGTAAATTTGCACTGTGTGTATATGTTGCAATGTGAACGTTTTTGTCAACGTAAGAGGATGATCTAATAAATATCTGTTCTTTTGCCGACACCAAACAAATTGTCAACAGTTGTCAACTTTTATGCGTATATACAGAAGTGAGCGGACGATGTTTTCTTTTGATTTCAAGGAGTCAAAGCTTTGTGTACAATGAAACACATGTTGCTTCACGCGAACATATTCGGTGAAGTTACTCTCTTCTCATTCAACTTTGATTGGAAAACAACCTGTTTTGTGTTGAAAGTCGTAAACAGACTGACGAATATGAGTGCCTTACACAATTTACATATTTTATTTACACACCTAAGATGCTTTTCATGTGAACGCATCGTAAATTTACATATACGCACGTATGTATAGTTACACGTGTGTAAAATAACTTACGTTAGTAAATGTTGTGCACGTGAATGGGGTATAAGTTTCCTTCTTTTTTTAATATATGAAAACGGACTGCATATTATGTAATATGAATGCCTTTTCAGAATTTGTTTGGCCGAGACACAATTGTGTCATGTAGCTGTAATAGATCACAGTGCGGCGTTAAACAACAAAAAAAGAATCAACTGATTTCGTTCCATATATGCATCTCTTCACCCAGAAGCATATTCGGTTCCAATAGATGCAAGCCTTTTCATGCATATTCCATGATGGCTGCAAGCGATATCACAGGCGTCGCCCATCATGCATTAAAAACATACAGTACGCGCATCGTCGCGCGACCCACTCCATCGGTAAGGGCACGGTGTCAGCAGAACTAGGCGTGGCGTTAAACAACAACAATCAAACAGACAAATAAAACAAGATGTAAATATAATAGATGCGGGTTGTGTACAGTGTTCTGGTTACCGTTGACATAGAGAAGTCTGGTATGTATTCAGGGCCCACTTGCGCAAAGCGACCTCAGCGCTACGACTATTGCAAGCCAATGTTAAAGTATGGGAGTTACGGTCATCTTAGCGCTAAGATCGCTTTGTGCAAGTGGGCCCAGGTTTAAAGGTATTTTTATTTGCAGATGTAAGGTAAATCATGTTATCTTCAAAATGTATACAGTAAGCTATGTTTATAACGAACACGCTTATAACGAAGTGACGGGTATGACGAATTTATTCTTAAGTTTTGTTCCGGCCATTTGCTGTACATATGCTTATAACGAACTACGGTTATACCGAACTAAAATTAATGGCCCCTCTGAGTTCGTTTTAACCGTATTTTACTGTGTATCTAAATAGCCGTACGTCTTTTGTAGGATTAACGTGTGTTATTCACATATTCAGGGTAAACAGGCGTTATCTTGTCAAAATGTGTGTCTTCATGTCATTTCGAAACACGTTTCTGCAAAAAGGCACCATTCTCCAGATGCCCACAAGCAAAGTTTGGTATTAACATATTTCAAAGTGTTCCTTAGAAATTTCAAACATTTGTAGCCAGATTATAGTTTGCACCAACAAATGTTTAGAAAGTGTTAATCATAATTGACACAATATGCAAGTCTTAATGGTTTCATGTTTAAAACGCTGAACTAAAGTTACACAATTACTCTAAGGCGTAATTTGAAAGGCTTTGGCTCTATAGGCCATAGAACACAATAGGGTATGCAAAAGCGCCTAGCATGGCAACATATAAATGCACATGTCCTGATTCATAAAAAATGCCTTTCTACGAAACAGACCTTTCAGCGCTAAGTAATAAGATTTGTGTCGCCTAAGCATCCTCGTAAAGCATTAGTTAATGTCCACTCATTCAGAGCCAACTTGTATATTGCATCTTCAGCCTATCTCTTTTATTGCTCTATATAGTTTCTTAAGATACACGTTTCATTGATTATATATACAAAATTATACATTAAGTACATCAGAAAATGTATCATCTTTATATTTTATGATGACATTCAAATGTCAAAAAACACATATCTGCATGCTCTGATTGTACTTGTGTTGATCCTTGGTTGTAATCGCTTAACAAAGTGCAATTTTGTACATATATGGATTCAGTTTTGCCGTTATATCACATTTGCCCGAGGCAAGGGAGTTAACTGACTTCAAAAGTCAAGTTTCCACCCTTGCAGAACTTGGCTGGAATTTCTGGGTTCGATCGCGTCCCTTCTGTGTCCCCGCTACTGATCAATCGGATTCCACCACTACAAAAACCGGGTTCGATTCTCGACATGAAACAATATGTGAAGCCCATTTCTGGTGTCGCTAAAATGCGGCGTAAAAACATACTCACTCACACAAATAACTTGATCACCTTGGTTAAGAACATGAAAAGAGTTATAAAATATCTGCATTGTCCACCTAATGGTGGATAGAAACACCGAACTAATGAAGGTCTTAGACGTTTACGACCTTGTTGAAACAATGACCAAGGTATGGTGATGACAAACATTGAAACATAGTTAAGGAGTGAGTATTGTTTTACGCCGCTATAAACAGTATTCCAGCTATATCAAGGCGCGGACACTAGAAATGGACTTCACGCAATGTACCCATGTGGGACACAATCAAGGATTATGGTATTATAGGATCCTGGCACACCAAAGGGACGCACAACGAATTGCGACGCCTTCTTTATCCCGTTATTGTCCTGAGCAAC